AGTTTTTTGGGTTCATTGAGAACATGGTTGTTGTTCAATAATAAAATTATTCCTCAAAAATACAACTTGCCTAATAATTCTGCACTCCCTGTATGTGCTCAGAGGGGATGTTTCTTTCTTTCTTTCTTTTAATGGAAACTCTCCAAATTTGTGAATTTGACTGAGTGGCATGTTGTTTGTTGTGACATTATTTCAAACCAAATATCATTCATACCATTCATATCTGTTGTATTGGGGAGGTGGTCGAATTCACAGTGCGGTGAACTCCAAACCTCAGCAAGTGCAACTGTCTACAGGGCAACATGCAACCAGGGGTAAGTGGCAAAAAGATAATGTAATATAATGTAATGTAGTTATACTTACTTCGTGTACAAAAACAGTCTCTCACATTTTTCTGGAGGAATTTTGGCTCACTCTTCTTTACAATGTTGCTTCAGTTCATTACACAGCATTTCAGTCAGGTCGACTTGGCCATCAAAACATCCTGATTCTTTTATTTTGAAGCTGCTGAACATCACTTCAGTTTACTTTGGTATAAAGTGGAGACTGCGAGGTGCTCGGGTCCAGTGGCTGCAAAATGAGCCCAAATCATCACACCTCCACCCCCATGCCTGGCAGTTAGTGTGGGGTGTTTGTACTCATATGCTCTGACTTTTTTCCTCCAAATGTGGTGCTGTGCATTTTGGCCAAACTGTGTGGTCTCATCTATCCACAAGTCTTGTAGTTTGTTCAAATGCAGCTTTACTGTGCTGCCATGTTTTTCAGAGAAAAGAGGTTTTCTCTCAAAAACCTTTTCAAATAAAAAGTCTTGTTCAGTATTTTTTCTAATTGTGCTGTCATAAACTTTTAACATGCTAACTATGCCTTTAAAATCTACTCACATTTGCTGATGATCAGCAAATCAAGTGATTTGATTAGCAGCGCCTGGCTGCTACTCACCATCCCTATAGAAACAATAAGCATGCACTTAGTTTTTCACCAGGCTGCATAGTGTCATATGAAATGTTTCTTTTCACATGACTATAATTTAATATAATAAATATGATATATCCAAATGACATGAGATCCTGCCTCTCCCGGATCCTGGTTCTGTTGGACGTCTCTTTCTGTTAAAAGTGAGTTTTTCTTTCCCATTGTTGCCAAGCGTTTCCTCATAGGGGATCGCCTTAATTGGGGGGTTCTCTCTGTAATACTGTGGGGAGGAGACTGTTGCTGTGAATTGGTGCTATATGAATAATACTGAACTGAAATTCACTGCTTTGGTGTGCGCTCCCCAGTTTGGGAGATTTCTGTTGCCTCCTCTTGAATATCAAGGGACTTGTCTTGTTTTACTCAGTGCATCAGAGAAATACAATTATAGCCCAGGTACCTGTGAACTGACGTGTGATAAGAGGCTTACTCTCATGACAACAACAGTAAGTTACCGACAAGTAACCAGATCATGATTCAAGAAAAGCGACATTACAAGTCTTATCTCCAGTGTCACTGCATTACAGAGAAGGTCTGCATGAGATTCATAACAAAAGAAAATGTATCACAGTGGGGATTTTAATGACTTACCATTCCACCACCATGCTACGAGGTGGCATGGTGGTAGGTTGGATTGCGCTGTTTGAACCCTGCTTGAAGGGTACAATAAGTGCTGTGTGAATGTGTTGTGCTTTTGGAATCAATAAAACTAGAAAGGTACTTTTAAAGTGGCTTTTAAAGTGCACAACATTACATAAGTTTAAATAAGTACAAGGTAGTGTATAGAGTTTAGCAGTGCAGACCGTCCTGCAACGCTTAATTCGATTTTCATTAAATTCTTAGATTGTACCGCCTTACAGAACCTCTAACATGGTTACAGTCTGATTCTGTTTGTTCAGAAATCAAAAATGCGAGTCCCAGAGTCAACCTAATCATGGTGTGTTCATTATTAACACGTTACAAATTTAATAAATGCCAGTAAAGGTTAAGTTATGTGTTCAATAACTACCTTCCAACCAAGCCACCCACTCTTGGTACTGCTGAACCTTGGACAGCGACGGTCAGCCATCATGATAAAGGGCCAACAGCATGAAAACGCTGCCTCTAAGTTACTAAACTGCATGTAAACATGTTTCCTATTTCTGTTTAAGCTGGTTTAAAATACAAAGAAATGTTTCCATTTGTTAACTTGAAAACTTTTGTGGTGTTCCCAATGTGCTATTCAAAATTCATTCAACATTTTGCTCATCATCCCTCTACTGCTTAAGCAAAAGAAGATAAAAAATGTTTTATTGATACAGTTTTGTTCAGCAGGCACTTTTCTGTTTTTTTGTCTCGTTCAAGCAGCACCAGTGTCGTTCCCGCTGTCGTCTCTGTCTCTGCAGGCGCCTGATCAGAGGATGAGGGCAGCTTTCCTCAGGTGTAAGTATATCATCTTTTTTCCCTTAAGTGTGACTCAGAAGCATGCTTTTTTCCTTTTTTAGTGCCTTTAGTCCCTGGTACAACCATTGAGAGCAAGCACCCTAATTGTCATTACCCATCTTTCTCTGCTTTGTCACCTCTTTTCCCTCAGTCTTTGCTTGTTCTGCGTCCTCCTACTTGACCAGATAATAAGAATCCTGCTGGGAAATCTGAAACCTCAGTCTAGATGCTCATTAATGATGGATGGACATCATACTGTATTTATGACTTCCTGGTCTATCATTAAGATCAGCACCATGTTCCAACACGACTGAGCCTGCTGACACAATGACAGCATTACCAGCACCTTGTCAGGGTTTAATAATTCATTTGGTCAGTGTCTGTGCGTCGTTTGTGTCCACTGTGCCAAAAAGTCAACTGAAATACTGCAAGGCTTAAACGTCAGTGGGAAAACCTCTACAACCTGACAGAGTAGACAACAGCTGGTTCAGTTCTCTGCTAAATTAGGAGGATAATAGCAAGTTTTCTCCTGATGCCAACTTTATTCTGACTTTATAAGAGGAGGAAAATCAAATGGAGAGTGCGGAGAATTAGAATGCAGCTGGTTGGTATGGCATCATGACCATCTTGGAGTTTTGAAAACACATTTGATCAGCAAGCGATGGATCTTACAGTGAAACTGTTCTCATTGGCTAGGGACTTGTCAATCACAGGTTGTTAGCTAATGAAAATATCTCCCTTTCTAATAAACAGAATGCCCAAAATTTTTAAGATGAAACTGAAATGAATTGCTCATCAGGAAGTTGTTTACAAAGGTCAGACCTGAGACACCTTTACTTCCAGACTTCTATAGAACGTTTAAATTGTCTTCACGTTTCAGAATTTAAAGTTTTATGCATCAGTTACCCTCAAACACCCACTCCTCTGCTTAACAGAAAAGTGTTCTGTAGTGTTATGGCCACCTGACGAGTTGTAACATTTCAGTCATAAATCCTTAGTGATTTATGACTAAGGATTTAGTTTCATTCAGAGCCTTTTTGGTGTTTAACTGTTAGGTTTTTTTTCTTTCTGTTTCCTTGCTCTAGTTTCGTGCCATCTGACCTTTGACCCCGAGACAGCTCATCCTACCTTGGTTCTCCTGGAGGGGCCCCAGGGTGCTCATTGTGGCGAGGAGCCACAGCCCTACCAGCCTCATCCACAGCGCTTTGACTCAGTGGCGCAAGTCCTGTGCAGGGAGGGCCAGTTTGGTGGTGCCAGCTACTGGGAGGTTGAGTGGAGAGGAGGTGGGTGGATTGACATAGGCGTCACCTACCGTGGGATCGGGCGCAAAGGTGGCGGGAAGCCCTGCCTGCTTGGGCGCAACGAGCACTCTTGGCGGCTGAGGTGTAGTCATGCTGGATATGCTGCATGGCACGATAACCGCAAGACCACGGTCGCTGCACCGCCCTCCCCCAGGATCGGCGTGTTTCTGGAGCGCCAGAAAGGAGCTTTGTCCTTTTACAGCATCTCGGACTCCATGGTGCTCCTGCACACTTTCCATTGTTCGTTCTCTCAGCCGCTATACCCCGCCTTCCGTTTGGATCTGGACTCAACTCTTGTCATCTGCCCTCATGAGGGAAGCTAACTATGCCCCCATGTTTTTCCAGGACGTCTCATTTATCTTCTGGAGGAAAGGGCTGTTCGCTCTGCCAATCGATATGAGTGAGTGGTGAGGAAATGGCACTTTTCTGTGTAATTCTCTTTGACTGTAATATTCTCTTTGATAACTGCCGGGTTGAGTGGCAGAATTGCATAATTTTTTTAACAGCATGCATGTTTTTTACAGTGTACTTTATTACATAAAAGCCCATGTGTCATCATTTAAACCAGATACACACAGGTTAATAAATATACACATATACATATATATAAACTGATGCTTTCAGCAAATTGAAAATATACCCTCAAGTTGGATTTTATGCTAGCTTTAAAAGACTGCAAAAGTTGTGTAGTGCTGAAAATCACTTGGTTCCCACAGCTAATTAACTAACTGGTAACAGGCCATAGACCAGGGGTTCATCACATTGTGAAAGACTGTTTGAGCAAATATTTAAACAAGAAAACAGTTTCTCAGAAATGGGAAAGAATTTCTGGTCCATAATAAGCCATTATCATGGGTGATTTCCACATCTGTGAAAGCACCATTATTGTTGGCTGATACATGCAAGTTTGGGGGCAACACCTGCTTTCAAAGCCAGTATTTTCAGGGAGGTCTGTGCTTATTTAAAGGTACAGTAAGTGGGTTTTTAATGTTATTTATTAGAAAAATAGTGTACTCAAAAATATACATAGATCAGTCAGTAATTATGCCACCTAACGAATTGATGCATTCTTATAAACTTTAAATGAATCCATTAAAAATACATAGGAGGATGCGTCGGTTTGTGGAAGGCACCATGTTGCCCACCATCTACAGTACAGTAGCTGAGTTGGACATCACCGTTCCACCTAATTGTGTTTCATGTACATGACTATAGACCGGCCAAATACATAATACACCTTACAACTTTGTATTTTACAGTTCCTTCAAACTATATCTGACTATTTAACATTTGAACATGTACATTTTTATCATTTTGTCTTTTTCTTTACCTCTCCTCACTCATTTCTAGCTTATCCTGTTCCTTCTTACCTTAACCTCATCTCCTGAACTGAAGTTAGGGTTCTAAATTAGAACTTCTAATGTGCATAATCATGCTAATTTACGATATTGTCACAATTACTTATTGTTACCAACAAGCCAGCTAAACAACAACTGCCATTTACAAGTTAACATTAGGCCAGCTAATGTTAGAAAAGTGTTTGTCACTTTCCCTGTGATAAACACTTTGTTTCAGAGTATCCCATTGTATCAGAGTTTACTTGCTAGGTGTCAAAGTCCAACATAATGCCAGCTAACAGCACCTAACAACGGTAAAAACAGCGGTGCTTATCAGCAGCTCACTGAGGTTCGCTTCACTGACTTATCGGCTCGAATCGTAGTCCTTTCACTAAATTTTACAGCATCTACCAGAGCAAACAGCATATTGATAGCTAAATGTCGAACGGCTGTGGTCAGAGGTGATTCGTGTGTCAAAAAAAGTACTGCAAAACTGCAAAACACATATTCATTGTTTAATTCCCGATTTATTGCTAAGTGAAAAGTGTTTGTCCACCAGCAGGCACCGTAGCTGGAATTATTACACTTGAATTGAGATGATAAGTAATCAGAGCTCAGTTGACTGCAATTTACTGACATCTGGTGGTGAGATTTTACACACTCTACCTTTAAATAAGACACTGCCAGACCACATGAGCACTGTTGAACATGAGAGAATATTTGATTATAGAGCAACAGGTCTGGAAAACCGTGATAAATATTCCTCAGTCTTGACTTTGTGTTGCTGGCATCAAATTTAAAAGGACTATTTTTTTTTTACATTTTCTTTTTACTTTTAATTACAAAAATTTATTAGTTTTAACAGGAATGTTTACTTTTTTAAAATTTTATTTAAATATGGGGTTAAAATAACTTTTACAGTGTGCTGACCTTGTTGTAATATCAGGTGGTATTTGTGTTCCAGTAAGACATGGATGAGTTACTATGAGTTAACATGCAATTATAAATATGCTCATATTTTGTAATCTTTTTGAACATTTTTTGTGTTTTTGCCTCTGTGACAGATGTTTACTGGGAAAAAGCCATATTCACAGATTTACTGAGCAATGGAGTATAAAAAGAAGAACCATACACTTCAGCGTGTTTGTAGAAATCATTTGACTGGAAACATGTGCGACAGTGTTTCCCACAGATTCTAAATCAGCAACAGAGAAATATTCATTGGTTTCTCCTCCCTTTGTGTTTGATGTTATTTTCATAGGGTTGTACATTTATAGGAGTCAAAGGTTATTTTTTTCCATTATCAGTTATACTAATGTGACATGGGAAACCTCTGGGCATTTTTTCATTTAAACCTGCAGAAGTGACCTCAGCTTCAGATAAATTAAACGTTGTTTTGCATTAATCTTAAATTAAATGAAGGAATAGTTTAATATGTTAAAAAAATGCTTACAGAATTCTGTTGGGAAAAGTTGTAGCACAATAAATATGGACGTACAATTTCTTAAGGTACTCAACGGGCAGGTTGTCCCACTTCTTGTTTGTTTAGCCTGAGTTCTGTCTTATCATCCTTGAATGATTCTGTTATGTTGACATTAAGACTCTGTGGAAACCATACTGGCTGTTTATCTTGCTGCTGGAGACAGCTCTTTATGACTTTTGTCAAATATTTAGGGTCAGTGATGTGCTCCAGAGGAAAACTGGGACTAATCATGAGCCTTTCCTTGTGGTACAGTGCGATGGAAAACAATCAAAAGATCCAAGTGCCTCAAACATTTGCACAGAACAACACTTGCTATCATTGCAGCACTTTGATTGCTTCTAAGTCTATGATTATAACTTTTATCTAAGCAACTCAGATTCTATCAGATCACATACATGCCGATCTCATTCATTTTTATTGATATAGCGCCAAATCACAACAACATTCGGCTCAAGGTACTTTGTACTGTAAGTTAACACCCCACGTTAATACAGAGAAAACCCAACAATCAAATGGTGACAGTGAGAAGGAAAAACTCCCTTTTAACAGGAAGAAATATCCATCATGCAAACCCTTGAGTTGGTTCAGGGTGAGGGGAGGATGACGGAACAAAAAGAAAAAACTGTGGAAGAGAGCCATTCCGTGAAAAAAAATACTTTCTGTGATTTTAAAACTGTGGGGTGACATAAAGAAGATCATGTCTTCCATCTGAATGGACACCATACTATAGCCACTGCCTTTCTTGACTTGGCAGGGGTGGGGGAACTCCAGGCTTCAATGGGTGGTGTCCTGTAGGTTTTAAATGTGTTCTTGATCCAACAGCTGATTTAAATGGCTAAATTATGTCCTCAACATGTCTTGAAGTTCTCCAGAGGCCTGTTAATGATAATCATTTGATTCAGGTTTGTGGACCCAGGGTGAGATCTAAAACCTACAGGACACTGGCCCTTGAGGCCTGGAGTTCCCCACCCCTGACTTAGAGGGTTGTTTTCTTTTTAAAAGGCACTTTTGCAGAGGATTATGATCACCTGACCAGACACTGTGTAGGGCCTTCAAACCAAACTATGGAAGAACCTCAGAATGCAACACAATCTCACATGTACAGATAAATAAATGTGTATATATATATCATTCACAGAGCTATTAGAAAATATTTACATTTTTTTTAACATGGAGTGCACTATTCCACAAGCTGTAGGCCTGTATCATGAAGTCTGTAAAATGAGCATCCTTATGTATGTTTGTCTACCCGCTGTGCTTCTGTTACTGTTATTGTTTATGTTACTTATATTATATATGTTGTCTTACCAAATGAGTTTATTCCTTTCACTCAGCTCACAAAAAAACTGATCGATGAGGGTCTAAACATGCAGTGAGTTTTTCTTAATAGTGAAAGGATGGATAGTACTTGTTAAAATGATTTATTTCAGATGTTTCTTGTATTTTTTTTCCCTTGTTGTTGTGCAATAAACTCTATATTTTATGATTTTCTTCCCTAATAAAATGGCTTGACCTTTACTTGAAACCAAATTTTCACATATTGAGAATTCAATTCAATTTTATTTATATAGCTCCAAATCACAACAGCAGTCACCTCAAGGCGCTTTGTATTGTACAGTAGATCATACAATAATAGATACCAAGAAAGACTCAACAATCATATGACCCCCTATGAGCAAGCACTTTGGCGACAGTGGGAAGGAAAAACTCCCTTTGAACAAGAAGAAAACTCCAGCAGAACCAGGCTCAGGGAGGGGCGGGGCCATCTGCTGCGACCGGTTGGGGTGAGAGAAGGAAGACAGGATAAAGACATGCTGTGGAAGAGAGAC